TTAAAGGGTTAGTTCACCCAAAAATGAAAATTAGCCCACAAATTACTCACCCTCAAGCCATCCTAAGTGTATATGACTTTCTTCTTTCGGACGAATCCAGTCAGTGTTATATTAAAAATGGTCTTTGATCTTTCAAGCTGTTGAATGGCACTCAGCTGGTGTTGCATGCTTCATTCCAAAAGAAGTTAAATAAAAAGCGCTCTTCCATTTAAAAAAAAGTGTCTCACAAGGCTCCGGGAGGTGAACAAAGGGGTCCTGTAGTGAATTGATGCGTTTTTGTAAGAAAAATATCCATATTCAAAACGTAATAATCACTTTAATCTAGCTTGCGCTCACTGTTGTAAACGAAAGCAGTTCCGGTCGGATGACGTATGCGGTCGGCTTTACGCATGCGCCGCTCAGAGGTGACGCAAACGGAAACGCAGGGGAGAGATCAAAACAAAACAACGGTGACTTATTAGAAGTACAAAACGAGGATTTGTAAAGAAGAATGTCAGAGGATTTCGATATAAGCCAAGAGGAGACTGGTTTTCCTTTGCTAAGGTAAGGAAACTTTGCTTCCTTTGCTACGGTTAACAAACGCTGGTTTTCACGAGACTCACCGGCGCATGCACAGCACTGAACTCATACGTCATCCGCCCGGAACTGCTTCCGTTTACAACAGTGAGCGCAAGCTAGATTCAAGTGATTATTACGTTTTGAATATGGATATTTTTCTTACAAAAACGCATCGATTCGCTACAGGAGGCCTTTGTTCACCCCCTGGAGCCGTATGAGACACTTTTTTTTTTAAATGGATGGGCGCTTTTTATTTAACTTCTTTTTGGACTGATGCATGCAACACCCGCTGAGTGGCATTAAACGGCTTTAAAGATCAAAGACAATTTTTTATATAACTCCGACTGGATTCGTCTGAAAGAAGAAAGTCATATACACCTAGGATGACTTGAGGATAAGTAATTTATGGGCTAATTTTCATTTTTGGGTGATCTAACCCTTTAATAAAAGTCAGTGTTCCATCAGAATGATTTTGAAACTGGGTAAAAAGGTAACTTGCATACAGTTGCTTTAAAATCCACGCAGTCTTTAATTTCAGTCAGTCATATTTTTTTCACTGAATTAATTTCAAAAGTAAGATGTTTTTAAATGATGTATCAGAAAATAATAACAAAAAAAAAAAGCTCTATTTTTTCTTAAATTCCATTATAATTCATTCTATATTGAGGGCTAGTTGTTAACAAGACAGATGTTTACTACTGGCCTCGGGAAATATCTAACCACATCTTACAACTCTTCAGCACGTTCAGGTGCATGGTAACCAGTGTGCCATCAATTAGCAGTGTGTTTCATTTAGAAGCGATAATATACAGAGCATGGTTTTGTACAGGTCTAACTCGTCTTCCCCCTAGACATGCTGACAAATATCAATTAATTCTCAGTCATCCACTAACTCTCTTCACATGTAAAAAAAAAAAAAAAGTAAAATAAAAATAACTGCCAAGTCTTACCATGGTGTTTTTAAGTTTGTTTGTTTCTGGTATTTTGTTTCTTTTTTTAAACATTTTATATTCAATATTATTATTATTATTACTACATTAAATAATAAATATATTATCATGAAGACAAGAAGAAAATAGAGGAAGACGCCAAATTAATACTATAATTAATAAAATGGTTAGTTGTGACTCTTTAAAAACCAAAATGAGATCTGAACCCACTTTTAAGGACAAGGACAGTGTGAACTATAGTCCATGTTTGGTTCTTTTAAACAGACTCACCTTTTGTAAATACTAGCACGTCCTCTCTTTTTAGCATGGATAGAGACTTGGTCTTTCATCAAAATGTGCACAATAACCCCCGAGACTCACTAACCAAACCAAAAACGTCTCACCTCTTAATAGTAAAGTCAATATTTATGCATGTTTGCACATGAGGAAAGCCACCGATCTTGCTTACATGTTAAAAAAAGGCAGGCCATGTCTAAGTGCACGCAGCCCATTATTCAGGACAAAGCATAAAGACGCATAAAAAAAAGTGCATTCAGAAATTCAAGTGAAAGGTACTTGTATTAATGCAGATTTTGATCATAGAGATGCACATCAAACAAGACCTAGCAAAGAAAATGAAATATTCCATTTAAAAAAAAAAGAAAAGAAGAACATTTTAAACAAACAAACTTGGCACAGTTTTCGTGAATCATGGTTGGTGTCCCATCATGCTTCTGGTTGGCTGATTAGAGTGTGAACAAAAACCAGCGAAATGGTCGGAAAAGGCGACTATGAGCAAAACACCCTGTAAAAGGAAAAAAATAAAGATTAAAGAAGATACAAAGAGAGAAATTCAGCTTTGCCACCACAGGAATTAATTACATTTTAAAATATATTCAAATAGAAAATAGTTATTTTAAATTATAAAAATATTTCACAACTAACTGCTTTTACTATATTTGTAAACAAATAAATGCAGCCTTGGTGAGCATAAGATACTTTTTTTGAAAACATTACCAACCCCAAATTTGGAAAAAAAAGAGTGTTTTTTTCATATTTCATGCCATTTTTCATTTGGGATGTAATTGCAATTAATTTGATTAATCAATCTGCATATCATGTAACTAATTCCATTAGAAATAGTAAGCAATTGACAGCTCAAAAATAAACACCTTTCATGTTTAATGTACATAATTAAGGTCACATTTCATTGTAACATTATGCATTCATTGCAACATTTCATGATAATATTTAATTATCTTGTTATATATTTATTTATTCAGTATTGCCCACTATCCAACAGAGTACCAGATGACACATGGCGAGGGACCGTGAGGTAGCTCTCGTTCTCCAACACAAGGACTTTCATCATAAAACATCAAAATAAGTGACACCTCTCACAGGAACTATGGTGGCCATCCAGCAAAAAGGCCAGTTAAGCGCACACTACAGTTAAAGCACCTCTCCCTCCCTCCGCTCTCACAGCGAGTGTGCTATGAACAAGCTCTTATCTGTGAGAGCACAAACAGAGAATAGCACAGCCACTCTCTTCTCACTAATCCTGTTACGCTGCAGCCTCTTCTCAGCCTCCGTCTCTATGGTTACGGTGGGCATTCAGTGATGCTGGTCCAGAGGCTGTATCTACAGTAATCTACACGGCACAAGGTCCTCCTACAAGCACGGATAACCCAAGGCGACTCAAGGAGGGAGGAGTATGGATGGAGAATAAGCAAACAGGACTTACTCATCCGTGTCTTTCTTGCTCTCTTCGATGAATGCAATAGACTCCGACCTTAGACGGTTGGTGACCTCGTAAGTGCGCAGGGTCACACCGAAAATGTCCTCATGGTATCGATGCTCATCCTTCAACGAGAAAAAAGAGAAAACAGTCTGAAAAAGTAATTGGAACATCTCTGATGACATTGTACTTGATTTACCTTTGCACAGAAGGTCAGTTTTAAATAAATGACTGAATGGAGCCACTAAATACAGTATAAAGTTTGGAAAAAAGTGGGGTTGAACCTTTAATTTTTCTGATAAATTGTCAATTAATCACAAAATTATGAAAATAAAATGTAAAAATAAAGTTTAATTTATTCAACAAGTTATATATATAAAAAACAAACCATATATATATATATATATAAAATAAATAAATAAACTATTAACCAGTACAAGTAACTAGAACTTCTCAGATGACCTTGTACTTGATTTACCTTTGCACACAAAGGGTCAGTTTTAAATAAATGACCAAAAAGCACCACTAAGTACAGTTCTGTCAGTTCTTGACACTTAGCATACAGTTTAGATTTGGCGGTATGGTTCTGTTCTGGGCAAAAATCTCCCTGCCCATCCATGCAGCCTGTCATGAATTGACCCCAGTGTAAACAGAACAGAACAAAGCAGATATCATTAATGTTCTTAATGATATTTAAGTGTAACAACATTATTCAAGATAAAAATGAGTCTAATTTAACAAAAAAATATCAGAAAGCCAAGTCCTGACTGTGGCAAAAGGAGGAGTTGGGGATGGAGGAGGGTCATTTGCTCCTGAGCAAGTGATAAAGCTGCTGAATATTACTGAATAGACCTTATATAGGAATGCCGTGATAGGCCTCATATTCCTATAGGTAGATGTGGATCAGCTGAGAGACCCCTGTGACCTGCCAGAACTAACGCTATACGCTTTATTATAAAGTTTGGAAAAAAGTGGGATCTAACCCTTAGTTTGCTGATATAGAAGCCAGCATCTTCCAGAGACATGTTTCCATGCAGTTTAAAGATCTGCTGGACTGTTTTCAGTACATCTCCAGCCATGGTGACGTCTCCACAGACGTAGATATGTCCTCCTTCTTCTCTCAGATACTTGTACACTGTTTCAGACAGCTGCTCGCGAAGCACATCCTGGACGTATTTCTGAGAGGAAAAAAAGAACAAGAAATTGTGAGGTAAGGGACTAAAGAGATGTCTAAGAGCCACGAGGCATGGTTCCACTGTTATTTGATCAGTCAGAAATGCTATGCCTTGCTCTGAATTTAAAAAACAAAACAGAAAATCAAAGACTTTCTTCAAAAATGTTATTTTTTTCATTATCTCATTAATCTCTATGATTCACATGAGCAGCTAGCTAAATCCTCACTAATGCTGGAGTATAAATGGATTTGAAATATCCTCACTAATACTTGCCAAGGCATCATATTCTAACCTTTGGTTTCCCAGGTTCTCTGGAGTATGCAGTGTAAAGCTCTTTAAACACTTCCTTGTTCTTGGCCTGGATGGTCTCTTCCTTGTAAATGTGGTCAATCTGTGACTGCCGACAACCGAAAACCAAGATCATGGGGCATGCCTTGATTCCTGATTAAATATAACATGACAAAATTAAGATTTAATTCAATGACAAATGCCAAAGTATATTAAAGTATAAGTATATGTAATTGTTAATTTTACAAATTTTCAATTAATCATACAACTATAAAATGTAAAAATAAAATTGTATTAATTAAAATAAATTGAATTTTACTTAATTTATTCCAGCAAGCATTGCTGGAATGTCTCTGCATTAGATAAATGAATCAAACAATGATAAACCTTTCTCAGACCTGGACATTTAAATGCACCATTTAAATTACAAGAAATTACATGAATAAACAAAATAAAAGCTTAAGATAGATATCTTAAATATCTTATTTTATTCTACAAAAAGTGATGAAATGTCACTAAATTTGAATGAAATCAAATAAATCAAACAATGCTAGACCTTTCTCAGGGCTGGAAATTTAAATTAATCATTTAAATTTGAGTTTGCAAGTTCAAGCAATTACAACAAATTAAATTAAATAAAAACTTTACATGGATGGATGGATATATACATTTTTGTGTTACTCTACAAAAACACATAAATGTATTTGGTAACAAATTAATCTAACAAAATATGCTTTCCTTTCTCAGATCTGTACATTTAAATGCACTATTTAAATTCAGAAGCAACCAAAAGCCTACCCTTGTTTTCAATATCATACAGTCTCTGTTGCCAGAAGCTTCTGAATGGAGCAATTCCAGTGCCTGGACCAATCAGAATACATGGAACCTGGCTGTCTTTTGGCATACGGAACATTGGAGCCCTGAAACAGAAAATACATCTTTTGATTTAATCAAATCCACAAGAAAACTACCATTAGTGGACATATTTAAGAAGTATATAAGTATATATATATATATATATATATATATATATATATATATATATATATATATATATAAAAAAGTTTATATTTACCCTCTGACAAAGCATGGCACCGTATCGCCTTCTTCCAAGCTATTGAGCCAGAAGGAACACACTCCATGGTGTATGGGACCTTCTCCATCTAGCCAGAATAAAACGCATAATCCTTTAAATTGACACCCTCTGACACCGATCTAACGCCTAGCAATTTAGGACTTTGCAGGGCTGACATCACTCGCTTCAAATGGAGTGAAATTGCTATATTTTAGCAGCAATCACGCCATTATGCACATAATTACATGTTTACAATACATTTAAAATGTGGAAGAGAAATTAGATCACAGTTTTGCTTTTGCGCATGTTAACTATAAAGGCTTAACAGCAAATGAGCAGATCTAGAATTAATTTGATCATTTAATTTTTATGTAGTCCCTATTTTTTAAATAATTGAGCAGTTATTAGATTAACAGTCAGAATCAGACTAATACCACAGACAACCAGATTGGTCTCTCTTCCAACAATACACAATTCATTAGGCACTTCAGTCAAATTGCTAATTGAGTTCATAGTCTCTTATTAAGCACCCAATTATTCACACCATACCGCTGTTGGGGAAATTTGAGTTTTCAGGCCGTATGTCATTGTAACTGTTGAAAGTGAGAGGCTGTTTAGTGTGACTCTCACAGTTTGAGACGAGTGACAGAAGCACTGGAAATGTTTTTAACACCGTGAAGTGGATTGCATTGGTTAAACACAGCATCAGGTCCTGTTTACACCTGCTTTAAACATCTGGTGTTAAAGTGATGAGCAGAGACGCATTACCGATAACACCTGGTACAATCAGCATCTCAAATATGTCTCCGGTGACCATCACCTTTGCATATTGATCAAGCAAATAAAGCAAAACTAAGCAAAAATACTACTGTTGACAAGTTTGTGCTTGTTAAGTCTCATGTGCTCACCAAGGATACATTTATTTGATCAAAATTCAGTAACAACAGTAAATATAAGATGGAGCAAGCAGGACCAGGGAGGCGATGATGGAGGAAGGAGCCAGCGAGGAGCCAGGAGTGTGATGAGATGGATGGTGGGCCAGAGCAGGAGGAGACAGCTGGTGGATCACAAGAGCCCAGCCAAGACGAAGGCCCATGGCGGAATCGCAGGACGGAGGAGCCATGGAGGAAACCTAGGTGGAGGATCCAGGGGTGTGAGCTCCTGGCTGCGAGGATGCCATTACAGATGGTGACCCAGACAGAGCCGAGCAGGTGTGTAGGTTGGGCGACTTTGAGGATCCTGAGGGCCGAGGCAAAGCAGCAGGCTCCGGCGACCGTGATGGAGGCGGGGATCCGGAAAGCCACAGTGGAGCTGGATCACCTGAGGATAAAGGCAGAGTCAGAGGGAATGAGGAGCCTGACAAAGCCAGAGGAACGGAATGACAAGGCGAAGCCGGGGGAGTGGAGTCCCGAGGCGGCGGATGGTCGATGTCTGACCAAGGTGGAGCCGAAGGGACGAGGGTGCCTAGTGGAACCAGTAGGACGACAAGCCATGGTGAAGATGAGGGAGCTAGGAGCCAAGGCGGAGTCTGAGGGTCGAAGGACTGAGGTGGAGTCCCTGATCCTGTGGCTGGATGCAGAGACAGGGGAACCTCACACCAAGGCGGCGCTGATGGTAGAAATCCCCGAGGTGGACCCACATAGGCAAGAGCAGGCTGAGGGTGTGCAGAGGGGGTGTTGGACAGCAGTGGAGCTGGGGCTGAGTGCTTAGCTGGGTGAGATGTGGTGGCAGGTGCAGGACCCAGGCTAAACTGAAGATGTGAGGAAGTCCAGCAGGGCTATCAGAATAACAGGCCAAAGTAGAGGTGATGGTTCTTGAGGAGTGGCATAAGCTGCAGCTGGCAGAATGTAGTGACAGATAAGCCAGGCTCACACTACAGAATTTTTGGCTGGATTTTGCTGTCGCGGACAGATTTCCACATTCTGTGACAAAACCCCATGATTGTGACCAAATCGGTGCTCGTTGCGGTCGCCGAAGCTCTTTAAGTATGAGCAGGTCAGCAATGTGATCCGAACCGGTCTCGAGCTATCACAGACGCTACGACATTTTCAAACCTGTTTGATATTATCGCCACGTGATCTCGTAATGTGAGCAACACAATGACAAGGTTGAACTAATCCAGCCAATCATAGTGCAGATGGTTTAAACACTCTTATCATGCATCTTTATGAACAGACACAAATGAATCAAATCAACTAACTAGAAATACATTTAATAAATGCATAGATTGTGTATATAATACCACGTTTCATTGTACTGTTTAATTGCCTCCAACTTTTTCTGCAGTACTGACAGTCCTTGTTGTCCACGTCTTCCAAGCCATTGTTTCTGCCATATTCTCTTTTGTTGTGGTTTCGTCTTTCTTTCGGATAAAATAACTGCACAGACCAATTGAAGGGCCAGTTGATCGTCCATGCTTGAAGATATGGCCTATAATTGCTGTAATTGCTTGCGAGAATTTATGTGAGAAAACGTATTTTCGCTGATGGTCGGGAATGCCTCTTCACTGAATGTATTGTAGTGTGTGCACCTCGTTAGCGTTGTGTTGTGTTGTATGCGCGCAGCTATGACAAGATGCCGACAGATGAGAACAAATCTTGTTGCGTAGTGTAAGCAACACAATGATTCGGCTAGTCTTTCAGTCATGTAGTGTGAGCATGCCAATAGACAGATAATAGACTAGGGATTGAGAGAAAGACAGAGCCAGAAGGTGGATATTCAGATATTCAGGAGGGTCAGGGCTGGATGGAACCAGCATAAATTCAATAGATTCATGACTGGGAGAAACCAGCAAAAACTCTGAAAATTCAGGGCTGGCTAGAATCAGAGAAGACAGACTGACCAGGGCTTGGCGTAAATAGGGGAAGTCGTGGCCTAATGGTTAGAGAGTCGGACTCATAACCCAAAGGTTGTGGGTTCGAGTCTCGTACCGGCAGGGATTGTAGGTGAGGGGAGTGAATGTACTGCGCTCTCTCCCACCTTCAATAGCACGACAAGGTGCCCTTGAGCAAGGCACCGAATCCCCAACTGCTCCCCGGGCGCCGCAGCATAAATGGCTGCCCACTGCTCCGGGTGTGTGTTCACGGTTTGTGTGTGTTCACTGCTGTGTGCACTTTGGATGGGTAAATGCAGAGCACTAATTCAGAGTATGGGTCACCATACTTGGCCACATGTCACTTCACTTCACACTTCACTAAATGAAGAAAATAAAGGGTCAAAAAGAGAGAGTAAATCTACAGAGGCCAGCTGCAGCTCACCCTCAATGGCTCATACTCCACGAGAATCCCCACTGGGAGGGACGTTGTTGCCGGCTCACACATCTGGTCAGACTCATTATTGGGCTTGGGGGCGAAAATTCGGGGCTCTGGCTCCGCATCTGTGGTGGGCTCACACGATAGCTCCGTGTTGTGTGGGGATGATGGCTGGCTGGGCTCTGGTTTGGGAGTGGGGATTGCAAGTACCTTGTTGGCATTGAAGGCGGTGAGTGGTGAATCATTGCTCACCAGCATCCACTCCACAAAAGCGGTTAGGCACCCACGAGGACCTTCCCTGGACAACTTTGTCTTTGTTGGTGGTATTAAGTCCCACGTAATAAAATGTTGTCAGGCAGTTGTCTGGGAAATGAGTGGGTCCAAGATATTCTGTGTATGGTCCTCAAGGGAGAGATCCCCCTGCAGCTGGATTGTTCATTGAGCACAGACATAGAAAATAAAAAAAAATAAAAAAAACAAACTGCTACACTCCAGTCTTCTGTCACGGATTAGCATGTGTAATAATCCACATGCAGGCAAGACGACGAAGAGTTCAATATCTTTTAATAAACCAAATGACAGGGAAACACTACACATTCACGTATCCACAAACTGACGAGACCGGACAACCAACAGAGACAAGAGAGGAGTATAAATAAACAGAAGGTAACGACTTAATTCATGAAGGGTAGGTGAATCTAATCAAATCAAGAAACATGAGGAGAAAACTAGGTCACAGAAGGCACAGACACAATAGAACTGTGACATCTAGAGTTTCATAAGAGATCTCAATAATGTCTCAAACTGTGTACAGATCACCAAGATAGCAAACGCTGCAATCTAAAGATTTCTCAATATGAACTCAAAATTTCTCATCATATTCATCCAATTCATCCTATTTATTTATATTTTATTACGTTTATTATATATTTTTATCTTTCATAAAGTTTATTACTATCTGTTCTGTGATAGAAGTGAAATTATGTTCATTTACAAATTTTCTTAAACTACCAAAATCTGCTTTGTACATTAAAATATTTTGATAAACACAGGTGGTAAAATAGAAAAACATATAACTGATTAGATTTCATCATAAGTGACAATACCAGACAATACTCATATACAGAAAGTGCACAGGGTCATATTGTACACACAAAGACAAAACAGCATCAGGGTAACATACAACACCAAAATGTAATAAACATTAACTAAATCACATCAAATGCAATATAAATGACCCTAATGTACATTACTAATGACAAAAAATGAGAAGAAAAAAATCATGTGTGTCATGCAAAGACTTATGGTAATGTCCTTTTACTGTATTTACATTTTTTTTCTGGATAAATTATATAGAAATTCATAGTTTTAACTTGCAAAAACATAAATGTGAGTATTTTACAGTAAAATTACATATAATGATACATACATACGTTTTTTCTCCGTATATGGTGTAAGGTAAATTACAGTTACCAATTAGGTTTTTACTTTAGCATCTTTACAGTCTTTGTGTAAAAATTCTAAGCATTTTTACTGTCTTGATATAAAACTCATTTTTAAATGAAACATAACTAAAAGTTCTATTAAGAGCATTTTGGGTTTTTTTACCTCTGGGCCGATAGGACACCACTGCCACAGTGAGGTGTATCTCTCCTGGATGGAGGTCTGGAGAGGAGCTGATGGAGTAGTATCGTGCCTGTAGGAGGGGTAGCTGGGTCAAGAGAAGGGTGGACGGGATCTGGAGGGATGGGAACTCCTCCAACACCTCCACTATGGTGGGATTATTGTACCACTTCCACTCCTCATATTCCTGCAAACCCTGAGGAGACACAGAATGAAGCATATAACATCATTATATGCTCATATATCCCAGTAGCTCTGGTTTGGCACATGCACTCTGGATGAATGGCAATCGCTCAAAACATTCTGCAAGCACCTTGTGCCGTGGAGTGACAGTAAGAAGTGAGTTAAAAAAACCCTGTCAACACTCTAATTTGCGTAAATGTGTTAGTCATGTGAGTGCAAAAATGAAGCCAGAAAGGTCTTTTCAGATCTCTCCTTAAAGAGAAAATTCTGTCACCGTCGACTCACCATCATGACACTGCATTTTTTCCGAATATAAAAGGTTATCTAGCACAATGTCCAGGCTGTTTTTTCCTCATTCAACAAAGCTATAAAAAAGGAACCAAAAACTGCAATTTATAGAGACTGTATACTTCTAATAGCTATGTTTACTAGACTATCATGGCTTCAAAAGACTAGAATATTCAGTGGCACACAAATCACGTACTTTACAGTACTTTCTTTTTCTGACCGTTTGTTCACCATATAGACTATTTGCTTCAAGAAAAACACTACCTTATTGTTTTTGACTGCATCTCTGAATTTATGAATTTTAGTGAAATACCTGAACATTGTGATTATAACTAATTGATGCACAGAAAACTCAATGGCAAGGACCTTTATGGTTGTAAATCTGAAAAGCTGATGAAGCTGAATTTTAGAAATTGGTGCTTTTAGTCAGCAAGGACACTAAATTGGTCAAAAGAGACAGCAAAGACATTTATAATGTTACAAAAGATTTCCATTCCAAATAAATGCTGTTCGTTTAAACTTTCTATTCATCAAAGAATCCTGAAATAAAATGTTTCACATTTTCCATAAAAAATATTAACTGTTTTCAATGATGATAATAATAATTTTTAAAACACCAGCAAAATAGAACAATTTCTGAAGGATCATGTGACACGGAAGACTGGAGCAATGGCTGCTGAAAATCCAGCTTGACCGTCACAGAAATAATATATATATATATATTTAAAATATATTGAAATAGAAAACATTTCTTTTAAATTGTAATAATATTTCACAATATTACTGTTTTACTGATTAAATAAATGCAGCCTTGGTGAGCATAAGATACTTCTTTTAAAAAATCTTACTTACCCCAAACTTTTGAATAGAACACTATACAAAAGTATAATTTTATACAGGCAGAGAGAAACTGTGGGGAGTTGCCATCCTCACTGATGTGAACTCAGCTGAAAGAATGTCTGCAAAGAATGTGTCAATGTCCCTCTGTCTTTCTCCTCTAGTTCAATCCATTCCTTCATCAGAATCATCTGAACCAGAAAGGATGACTCACTAACTAAGCATTTTTAGCAATATTACGAAAAATTGCACCGAGTGTTTCAGTGGGAGGCAATGAAAGAGAAATATTTCCATGTCTTGGTGTTGACACTGAAAAGCTTGAGTGAGAGAGAATAAACAGGCACGGGAGGGAGAAAAAAAGGAAGTAGGGAGGAGGGGGTTGATTTTCAGAGCTAATAAGTTATCAAACTGAGAAAATGACTGCTGATTTGAGGTGGAAAAGGCAGGGATGCATGTGGCGATGTGACGCCTTTTGTCATATATGGAAGAAGTGGGTGAAAATGAGTCTTAAATCATTACTGAGCTTTGGCATGGCTTGTATTGATGCAAATAAATGTCATACATGATAATTAGGGAAATGCATGAGTGTGTGCAGTTATTCAGTGTTTTCTTACCTTGCTGAGTACCTCTAGTCTCTTTCTCTGTTTCTCATTAGTCGCTAGAGGAGCAAATTGTTGCAGTAGCAGGGGACTTGGAGGGGTGGTTATGTCCAGGAAGTATTTGAAAGCCTGATAGATGGTACAGGGCGGAATACGACTCTCGTCCGTCCAGTTACTAATCACACCTGCAGAAGATAAAGAGGCTCTGATTTGTTAAGAATGCAGATATGACCAGTTTAATCTTGATTTAACCAGTGATTTACTAACTTGATGTGACATTCAGATAATCAAGAATGAAAAAAACATTTTAGAGTTTTGGTGGAGGGGAAGATTTAAGTAAACAATGACTTTAATTTGACCCCTTTCCTCACAAATATGCCTTCTGAGGACCTGAAATGTATAGTATAAGTCATTTGGACTGCTTTTACTGTGCTTTTTATCATTTGTTGAGGCCCATTTTCTTTGCCATTTGTATTCCATGGTACAAGAAAGTAAGTCATATGGGTTTGGAACAACATGCGGATGAGTAAATAATGAGTTTTTATTTTTGGGAGAACTGTACACTGATAATGCGCCCAAGGCATCTACTTTTGTTAAAATACCTCTTTTGTCCACAATAATGCAGGCTTCAATGAGACCACAACTGTAATGATTTTCAGATGCAGGAGAAAGAGTTGCAGCAACCTCATTTTCCCTCTGTAAAGGTCACTGGCCGGTTTTCAGTCATCCTGACATATTTCTCAACAAGGTAGGGTGAGAAATCTCACTTCAGATAATCTTTTTAAAAGACAAGTAGGTCCCGTCATTAAAACTGATAGACTGTACATTTCCTGTCAGTACCATCAAACATGTACAGCTCTGAAAAAAAGATATACAGTGTCTTTAACACCGTAAATAAATATCAAAAAGGGACATCCTTCAGAACCACCATCAAAAAATTGCCATGATATTGTTTAAAGTATCCAGAGAGATTTTTCTGAAAACGTTTGCTCGAGTCCATGTTTGTACACAGCCCTATTAGTACTGACAGTATGAAAACAAAAATCAAAAATAGTTTCAGTGCAAGACAACTGTGAAACAATTTTGTGTTTACAGAGGCAAGATAAATAACCTTATATGATGATGAAAAAATTCAACAAAAGAAAACAAACAGAATGAAACGGCTCAAATGGGAAAACGGAACAGCGCCTCAAGCACAAGAGTTGAAACCCTGATTGAAAGCACATCATTTAGCACTGAAAGCGTTTTTGATTCAGTCAGATTTGTAAGGAAATAAAAGAATAGCATGACAGCATCAAAATCTGTCCCTGTGGGTGAAGTTTTGGATGCCGAAAATTGTCTATTTAATCTAAATATCTCTGTCATGGATGATAATGAAGCCAATGCATTCATTCTTTAACATTATATCAAGCGATTAAGTGGTTTTTACATAGTGTGTTTTACAATGAGTGTTTACATGCAGACTGCACTGATAACTATCAAGGATCAGCTAATTATAAAAACCTAACAATGCAAAAGAATTGCATTTACATGAGATTTGAATTTATTGCTGCATGCAAACATTGAATAAGCTGACAGAATGCTGGCAAAGTTTAAGCAAAATCCTTTTTTTAAATACATTTTTAACTGTTTAAAAAGAAACATTCACATGCATTCATATGACACATTGTCGGGTTAAGCATAATCAATTTGTGCATGCAAATACGCTTAATGATGTTAAACATTACATTTTGAGTAGTGACCAATAAGTGGAAGCTTTTTAAAATCTAATATATAATGTATTTATACAATTTATAAAACCCTCAGAATATACTCAGTAGCTGTTTTAGGTATGGTATTCAGGTGGAATGGATGGTTGCCATTGTCATTTTGTAAGTGTTACGAGTGAAAGCTAGCTCACTTTCAAGGAAATGTGACATGACCAGCACTATTGACCAGGTTACCCTGATCCTTGGCTCATCATGAACACCAGAATACCTGATGAACACACTGTTCGGCAGACAATGGCATATCCAGAAAGCCTTTCCTCTGTGTTCACAAAATAATGTTTGATTGGGGAGTCTGGCAGGCTTGTATGGCTGAAGTACTAGAAGTATCACGTCTCTCTTCTGACTCTTCTCCTCTGAATGTCATTTCACATAATTTTTTTATCTAGATGCAGTCACTTTCCATAAGATACCAAAGCAGATGTTTGAAAGACAAGTTATTTTGGAAAGCTGCTATTCATTAGTTGCTTTTCACAAGAAATGACTAAACCATTTAAGCCTCTAAGATGCTACGAAGCTTGAATGTTATTCTATAATGCTTTTTTTTTGCATATCATATTATTTTTTACATTTTGAATTAGTTTCAGACATTTGCATATTTTTATGATGGCACGAAAAAAAAATCTCTGCATATATTTCATAGTTACCCAACGCTGTGTTTCGTTCTTCCAAGAACTCCACTTTCACAATTTGGTTGATAGGTGGTGCATCCTCCAGTTTCTCGATAAGAGTCGTAACTAGAACTTCGTTGTTGCCAGGGAAAACGCCTAAATGGTCACCAGGCAAGTATTTCAGGCTCTCGTGGTTGTTGGCATCAAGACGCACAAATATAGTCGATCGGCTGGAAGACAGGAAGTAAGAAAACATGGTAATATGAAACAGTTGCAGTCATTATTAAAGAGATTATAAAAGATACACAAGAGAAATTGACCCTTCGCTTTGCCCACCTTGGGTATTTTTGCTAGAATAGGCCGGAATGAAGTTTGACATTGCAAAGCATTTCATATGCCATTTTTAAATGTTTAATATAAAAGTAACTAGATAAAAACTCAAGATACAAATGATAGTTAGCTTTCTGTTACTGACATTAATTTAGCTAGAAGCAAATGTATTTTCTCTTTACATTTACATCTTACATCTTTACAACTCATTGCAAGTTATCGCAAACGCTTGATTGCAGTTGTTGCTGATCTGAATCAACCTGACTACACCAACTAAATGGCTTTTTAATATAATAGTTGACCCAAAAAATAAATTTTGTCGTTATTTACTCCTTTTGTTACAAAAACATATGCTGATCAAAAAAAAAATTTTTTTTTAAATATAGAATCAGTGATTATCAAGAGCCAAAAAGACCAACAATGTATTGTAACAGTAGTCTTTTACTATCTGTGCAGTATCTTCTTGTACTCTGCACAATGACAGTTTAAAAAAAACTGACCTAATACTACAAATCTTCTGATGTCATGTAACTTCGTGTAAAGAACACAAAATGTAAGTATTTCTTGCAAATTTAAACTTGACAGCCAAAATCATTTAAATTTTTATGTTTAAAAATTTACAACAACAAGTTTCTACAGTGTACTTCTTTTATTTTAGTTGTCAATAGCAATGGAAAAAAAAAAAAATAAAACATGCAAAGTAGTGATTATAGCCCACTGCTCGCTTATGGCAGTACCTTGAAGACCTTCTTGGCCCATGTTCTGAAGGATTCCTCTTGGCCGCAGAGTTCATCTCCCTCTCCCATGCGCAGGATTCGCTCCCCACCGAGCTCTTCGAACAGCGTGTCCACTGCGTGGGCAAACGCACAGAAGTGTGGGTATGCCCGAGAGCCAAGGCCAAACACAGAGAATCTGCATGGGAGAAACAGTGTTGAAAACACATGAAGCACATGAACACAAACAAATAGATGTACTGTATATACAAAATGAATCGTATTATAAGAGAGTGGTGGTTGTGGACATCAGGCCAGAGGCTGTGAGCTTTGATCCTGAAACTATGAAAACTAAAAAAGGGTCAAATTCAAGGCCTGAGAGGAGGTTACGCAAGAATGCACATACATACATGCAAAGTTCACAAAGTGCAAAGTTTTGATTGCTTTAGGATGGAATTTATTTTCAAACTAAACTTCTTTTAGATGGTTGTTCTCTGTTCTTCTGCTCTTTGTATATTTAGTTCTGAAGTAGTTGATGAACTTCAATTTAAGCCAGAGACACCGGAAGAAACCAAATACATACATAAAGACATATAGGAGAATATCCTCTGAATCAACCTGACTACACCAACTAAATGGCTTTTTAATATAATAGTTGACCCAAAAAATTAATTTTGTCGTTATTTACTCCTTTTGTTACAAAAACATATGCTGATCAAAAAAAAAAATTTTTTTTAAATATAGAATCAGTGATTATCAAGAGCCAAAAAGACCAACAATGTATTGTAACAGTAGTCTTTTACTATCTGTGCAGTATGTTCTTGTACTCTGCACAATGACAGTTTAAAAAAAACTGACCTAATACTACAAATCTTCTGATGTCATGTAACTCCGTGTAAAGAACACAAAATGTAAGTATTTCTTGCAAATTTAAACTTGACAGCCAAAATCATTTAAATTTTTATGTTTAATAATTTACAACAACAAGTTTCTACAGTGTACTTCTTTTATTTTAGTTGTCAATAGCAATGGAAAAAAATAAAAAATAAAACATGCAAAGTAGTGATTGTAGCCCACTGCTCGCTTATGGCAGTACCTTGAAGACCTTCTTGGCCCATGTTCTGAAGGATTCCTCTTGGCCGCAGAGTTCATCTCCCTCTCCCATGCGCAGGATTCGCTCCCCACCGAGCTCTTCGAACAGCGTGTCCACTGCGTGGGCAAACGCACAGAAGTGTGGGTATGCCCGAGAGCCAAGGCCAAACACAGAGAATCTGCATGGGAGAAACAGTGTTGAAAACACATGAACACAAACAAATAGATGTACTGTATATACAAAATGAATCGTATTATAAGAGAGTGGTGGTTGTGGACATCAGGCCAGAGGCTGTGAGCTTTGATCCTGAAACTATGAAAACTAAAAAAGGGTCAAATTCAAGGCCTGAGAGGAGGTTACGCAAGAATGCGCATACATACATGCAAAGTTCACAAAGTTCACAAAGTGCAAAGTTTTGATTGCTTTAGGATGGAATTTCTTTTCAAACTAAACTTCTTTTAGATGGTTGTTCTCTGTTCTTCTGCTCTTTGTATATTTAGTTCTGAAGTAGTTGATGAACTTCAATTTAAGCCAGAGACACCGGAAGAAACCAAATACATACATAAAGACATATAGGAGAATATCATAAACACAAGTCCAAGTCACCACAAAATCAAAAGAAAAAAAAAACGAGGCAGTTTATGGCAGTTTAGGTTTTACATAACTTTAACTCATCAAAATGTAACTCATCAACTTTTATTTACATAAAACTTGATTTTTAAGTCGATTTAATGTAATTTAATTTAAAAGTTATTATACTTAAAATTTTAAGGCAGCAGCTGGACTTATGTTTTTAAGTTGAAATAGGTGGAATTTTTTATAGTGCTAAATTACCATAATAATTTGTATTGATCACGTATCAATTAAAGCCATTTTAAGCCTTTTTGCAATAAAAAGGTTTTTGCATTGTGGTACAATTTATCAAACATCCTTCCAAAAAAATAAATAAATTGGCCCCAAAAATTTTTTATTTTGATTGCGATTAAATTTAAGCCAGAGGAACCACATAGACACTGGAAGAAACCAAAGAGAAGAAAATTACAGGAGAAAATTATAAAAACAAGTTCAAGTCACCACAAAATCAAAAAAAATTTTTTTTTTAGAAAACAAGTAAATATACTTTCCATAAAGAAAATGTATTTTATGAAATGTAGGTCTATTTTAGGACCATTAAGAATTTTTGCAATGCAAAAACATTTTGCCTGAATTACTATAATGTAATTTATTTGTTTATCTGTCATTGAAATCAGTTATTAAAGCCAGTACAATACAAATATACAGTATATATATACAGTATGATGAGAATCTGGGAGGAAATGTGCTTAATTGTGCTTTTTTAATGCAACAACTTTTTTGCATTGTGGCATAATTTATGAAACATTATTGATTATGATTATTGATTATGAAACAAATTTTTTTTCTTTGTTTTAATTTTTAGGTGGAATAACCCAGACATGTTTTTAAAAAGTTTCATATTTTTCCAAATACAGGCAGTACAGTACCTCACATTAGCAAGTGGTCCAGTGCTCTCAAAGTTGGCTTTGGATTCAGGTTCGTCACTGGAGGATTTGCGGGTATCAGAATATGACGAGACGCTGTTAAAACGCACCTTGTACGTCCTGAGAGGCAGAAAGAGAGAGAGGTTTCTTTGTGTACGTGTATGTGAATGGTTCCAGTATATAGAAGAGAGAAGAACTGCATGTTGTGTGTTAATGTGTGTGCCTGTTGCATATATGTTAGACTCTGTGTAGGTGTGTGAACTGAAACACTGAAAAAAATTAATTATGGGAAAGCAGATGGGTGGGAGGACGAGAAGAAAATCACTCGCTTGCGTCTCCACTCGCGCACACACTCACTTTCTGTCCTCTACGCTGGTGGTGGGATGTCTCATCTCCATCAGTGCCGCACCAAATTTCTGCAGCACGGAAAAGGGGAGAAAGAAAAACAGGAGAGAAGTTACTGGCCCTTCCTACGCATGTTCTCAATCACAAATTCAACCAGGACCTGCCAGCATAATGCAGGTTCTCCAATGTACAGTATGTGTGTGAAGTCCTTTATCATCATGATGAGAACATTCTGTTGTGTTGTGAAGTGTTGACAGTTTGATTCAAAGCAAAACAAAATGATTGATGTGCTCATTGAAACACTAGCGCGTTAGAGCAAACTTCTATTTTAATAACTCACCTCTCCATTTTCAGGAGGGTCCCCATTGCCGAACGTACTTGTCACCACTATTACAAGGGTCTCGTGTTCCAAGTCGACTGTGTCATATTCGTCCATGGACATCACCTGCAGGATCAAATAATATAGCATTGTACATATCACACAACTCACTTGTGCTGCTATAGGTCCATGATATTATAACCTCAGTCCCAATCCCAACATCATCCATCTAAATAGTTGCAGTAGTTCTATTATTGTGTTTTATGCCACTTTTCGTTATAGACATAAAAGTGGGGCGAGTCAAAGAATGTGACTGGACCATTATTAAAAAATAAATAAATAAAATTCCACTTCACAGAATGAGAATTTTGGGGAAATTGTCTCTTCTTGCTTGTGATGCAAGGGTAACTAAATAACTGGTTGTTTGAATAAGTATAGAGTTTTATTTATTTAAAAATATGTCTATAAAGGTTAACGTTTTATGTATTTGAGGAGCGTAGAAGATTGTCTTAGTCTAGCATTTGCCGTTTACTCACGTCTTATAGCCTTTGCATACTACTTCATCTTTTATAACATGAGATTTTGGCCAAATGTATCCAACAACAGGAAAAATTGATCGCCCACATAACTACAATAGACATTGTAAGCTGATGAAAACATAATTCAGTGCACTCACGGTCTTGGATGTGGCTATTCTAATGACGGACAAAACACATACCTCCGAAACTCGCTGGTTAAAAACCTTTTAACTCTATTTCAACTTTAGTAAAAAGCAAATAATATAAAGACACATGCAAGTGTCTGACCATATGTAAGACCATAATACCAACTCTGACAGTGCTGTGTTTAATTATTCAAAAACGACAGGGTTTTTCTCGTTTCCTGAAGAGTAGCGGGTTTGGTTTCCAACTGACAGCGAAAATATGATCAAACGATTGGGGTTGGTAAACGTTTTTCAAGGCTTTTGAAAGTAGTCCATCAAGGCTGCATTTATTTGATCAAAATACAATAAAACAGTAATATTGTGAAATATTATAACAATTTACAAAAACTGTTTTCTATTTGAATATATTTTCAAATGTTTTCCTGTGATGCAAAAATTACTCCAGTCTTCAGTGTCACATGATCCTTCAGAAATCATTCTAACATGCTGATTTGCGACTCAAGAAACATTTCTTATTATTATCAAAGATGAAAACAGTTGTGCTGCTTTTGTGGAAACTGGTGCATTTTCTTCCAGGATTCTTTGATGAATAGAAAGTTTAAAAGAACAGTATTTATTTGAAACAGTAATCTTTTGTAACATTATACATTTTTTGTACTGTATCTTTTGACCATTTTAATGTCCAAAAAGTATACTTTCCAAAAAGTATATTACACAAAGACTACCCATCTAAAAAACTGCATTACTATTATTTTTGTTTTATGCCACTTTTTATTTGAGACATTTTCTAAAAATGTAACATGTCTGCTAATGCCACGGCACATTACTTTTATTCATTTATTTCTTATGTGTTCCCTATTCTAAAGTTTTATCGGAGCACTAGTTAAGGCCAAGGCTTTCATTTACACTTTCAAATCCCAAACTCTAAGTATTACACTACACACGTATGTTTGAGCTATGACAACTAAACTGATTTCAACTGAAGTAGGGACCCAAGTTTTGTCTATAACTCAGAATATAGCACTTGTGGAGGGACTTTCTTGACTGGGCCAGTAAGCAACCACCTAAAACACCCAAGGATCACAGTGGCCACTTTTGCACCAGCAAGCATGTAATTTAGTTATTTGTACTGTTTGTGAAAACATAAATAACGCTTCATTCACTAGACATGACCATTTTGATGTGATTGGTTTTTCAGTCATTTGTAGCCCCGGAGCAAAAGTTTGGATATTAGATCAGTGTTTGGAGAGATTTTAGGCAACGTTTTCGAGTGTGAAAACCATACAATGTGCATCAAGAATGGGAGGCATGTTATCTCTTGATCCTGACGTACCGCCAAAAGGGGTGTAGAGGTAATGAACAGTTCGTACGGCGCCTAACAAGCAGCTAATGCGCCATGATACAATTAACAGAAAAGATGCATCAGTGCATGTGGCAGGGCAAATGCCTTCAGGGCATGAGGAGAGAGAAGCAGTATATCTGCGCCATCTGCATGTAAATCACGTAATAACAAGCGCATATGAACAAGATTGATTATTCTGCTACATTCTAAAAATAACTTTGCATTTAACTGCTATCCCAAGGCTAAATACGTGATCCACACAATACTCTTGTTTTATACCGCACATTGCTTTGAGTGTAACGGGATCTTATCTTAACCTACAGCTCAATGCCTGGGTGAGTCGATTCTTGGCATTCGATGGTATTGGAGGAATATAAATGGTGCCAAAGCACACTTTGGTGTGAAAATAGCTTTCTCACTCTGCAATCTGTATCACTGAATTGAGAGAGAGAGTTTGGTTGTGAAACCAAGGGGATACATGTGTCTCATATCAGTATTCTTTGTCATTTTGTTTACATCAATGTTTACGTGCAAATCCACAGGAGGCATTAATTCGGGATGAATGGGAGATGGGAAGGGTTTTAAGAATCACACACAGATGTCAATCTATTATGTGCGGTTCAGTAAGCCTGTCGTTCTTACCTTGGCATCAAATGCATGCTTGAAAATCTCACAGAGAGTTTTTGCATAGTCTTGCGATTTCCCAGTTTCTGTGGCGAACAAGATGGTGGCTTTGACCCTCTTGGCCATGGCCTGTCCCATGAGTTTGGCGGAGAATTTCACAGCCCTGCAAGTGGCACACAAACAGACATGGATATGTCAACAAAGATGAATTGTTGCACTAAATCAGTGAACTTTACACAGTTATTGAACTGAACTGAATCAACAGTTAACTGACTTGGGCTGAATAATGACACAATAGGGTTTTTAAAATCAAATTTAAGGCTTTTTAAGACCTTGTTTAAGATCGGCACAAATAAAATTAATGTCCATTCAGAACAAAATGATACAATCTCAAAATAAATCATGCATCTTAGAATATTATACTTTATGAAACTGCAAGTTTAAAATATACACATATGTACTAAAATTGGTTTATGTACTAACATATCAATACATATGAATTGGAAGCCAAGCAATATTAGATTTTGCTGACATAATAATATTGTGTAGAAAGACAGATTACAGATTATTGTGCCGATTCTAGAAAAATTGCCTTCCTGTGATGGCAGCCCAGAGAAAAATCAAATGAATTTACGTTAAAATAAATGTAGATACAATTTATTGCGTATTTGAAATTCCCATAATAACAAGGGGAAAATATGTATAATAATGCAGGACTTTTAATTGTAAACAAGCCTGAAATACACAGGACTCTTATTTTGAAATGCACTCGATTCAAGCTCCTCATTTAAATAGTCAAAGGAGATCAAATCTGTAATCTGCAGGTATTTAAGTCTTTTTATGACCTTAAATTTGAGGCTGTTTAAGTAAGACTGTTTAAGGACTATGTATAATTGATTCGGTTATTTTCTTGTTTATTACTGTGAAGCTGCTTTGAAACAATCAGTATTGTACAACGAGCTATATGAATAAAGGCAACTTGACTTGACTTAAAATCTCACCACTTATGACAACGTGGATCTGCGTTCCTAAAAATGATCTCTTCTACCACCTCTCAACGAGAGTTTAACACACTAACAGGCACTTCCCCCTCATTCCCGAGACCACAGTCACATAAACGTAGCTACTTAGAGTATATCCTGTGGGCAATTACTGTAATAGCTCAGAGGCTGAACGCTGAAGGGACACTGAAAGAAACCTGATTACACCTGAGTGTGATTCAGTGAGTTAGACTCACGCTATTCTCAGCATAATAACAAGGAAAATATGGTGGAGAGCACTCTTAAACAGCCATTAACACAACCGCCTGCTGAAGTTCCTGGACTATGGGTTATAATAACAACAAAAGGCTGGCAAAGATGGGGAGCGCTGCAGACAGCCGTCCTTCGTAAGCGCCATACAGGTTAAACTCAATGTACACTTTGTGCTTGAGACAAAAACAAACAGCTAAAGGTCTCGAGCTCTTCACCCACTCACTTGGCAAGTTTCTTGAATCCAATCGTTCTTTTCTTTGTGGGCGTCCCATTCACTCCTTTCCACACGTGAGTGTTCCATGGGTCAGGCTGGACAGTGAAAGAAAGAGAGAGCGAGAGAATGTAGCAAAGCATATTTTAATTATGAGAACTACAGGCTGATTGTGATCAAGTTGTAATAGAGTTCTGCAAAGAGTCCTTAAACCCGGAAATGTATACTTACTTTATTGGGTTCCACTTTATATTAAGTGGCCTTAAAGGGATAGCTCATCCAAAAATGAAAATTTGATGTTCATCTGCTTACCCCCAGGGCATCTAAGATGTAGGTGATTTTGTTTCTTCAGTAGAACACAAATTATGATTTTTAAGTCCAACCGTTGCTATCAGTCGTATAATGCATGGCAATGGTAACAAAATCTATGAGAGTAAAAAAAACATGCACAGACAAATCCAAATTAAACCCTGCGGCTCGTGATGACACATTGATGTCCTAAGACACGAAACGATCGGTTTGTGCCAGAAACCGAACAGTATTTATATCATATTTTAAAAGAGTGCGTACACACCTCACGCACCGGATGCCTGCATGTGCCCAAAGACAGTTGGACATAGTGGTGTATTAGAGGTAAAAAATTATATAAATACTGTTCGGTTTCTGGCACAAACCGATCGTTTTGTGTCTTAGGACATCAATGTGTCATCACGAGCCGCAGGGTTTAATTTGGATTTGTCTGTGCATGTTTTTTTTACTCTCATAGATTTTGTTACCATTGCCATGCATTATACGACTGATAGACTGCAACGGTTGGACTTAAAAATCATCATATGTGTTCTACTGAAGAAACAAAGTCACCTACATCTTGGATGCCCTGGGGGTAAGCAGATAAACATCAAATTTTCATTTTTGGATGAACTATCCCTTTAACTATTATGTACCTACATCAAAGAATAAGTACAATGTACTTATTGTGTTCATATTGTATTGCAAAACACTTTTGCTGCTATTGAGGTGGGATATGGGTAAGGTTAGAGATGGGTAGTGGTCTGGGTAGGTTTAAGGGTGGGTTAAGGTGTAAGGGATGGGTCAACAGTGTAATTATAAATGTAATTACAGAAATTAATTACAGATGTAATTACATGCAGGTATTTTTTTAAATATAAGTACAAAGTAAAAACATGTATGTACACAATAAGTGCATTGTACCAAATTATTAATTTAAATGTAAGTACATAGTAGTTAAGGCCACTTAATATAAAGTGGGACCATTTTTGTGAAAAAATTAGCTTGAAATGTCTTTGTGCTTCTTTTTTCATAAATGCAATTACATCCATGCATTTTAAGTCTGGCTTAAGAATTAAAATATTTTTGGGGTCACATCACCATTACAAGTCTGCAAAAAGAGGTTTTAGCTATTTCCAAATTTACAGAAAGCTTAAAGGGTTAGTTCACCCAAAAATGAAAATTGCTGGAACGCCTTCCGCTTATGAAAGATAATGGAAGTGAGAGAAAAGTGTTTATTATGTTTGAAATATGGATATTTTTCTTACAAAAACGTATGTATTCACTACAGAAGGCCTTAATTCACCCCCCGGAGCCGTCTGCGGCACGTTTTATTATGTATGCGCGTGCTTTATTTGACGACTTGTGGACTGTTCAACTGCAGCACCTGCTGACTGCAATGATAGAGCTTGGAATAGCCAGGACAATTTTTAATATAACTCCGACTGGATTCGTCTGAATGAAGAAAGTCATATACACCTAGGATGCTTCGAGGGTGAGTAAAACACAGTCTAATTTTCATTTTTGGGTGAACTAACCCTTTAACTGCCTCAGAAACATGGATGGTAAATTAGGCACAAAAATGCATATATATGATTGTACTCATAAGTGAAAATCAAAGTTGTGATATTACTTCAATGCAAACTGGACAAAAGACATACCTGGTACTCAAAAGAAGGTGTGAGGCGATAGTTGAGCATTTCCTGATGGAAAACAGGTGTAATGCTGCTTGACATGGGTGGCACTATCCAAACCCAGTCACCCGGGCAGCCTCCCCTCACTCTGTACTCATTCTCCATGTGCTTCATGAAGGACTCGGTGGCTGAATGATGGTCTACTATGGTAACCTTTGACATCTGCAAATGAAAATTTAGAAAAGAGTGAGACCAGATCAGACCAAAACTAAGATTAAATGAAGCTAATTGTAGGGTATCAGACCCAGTCAGACAATTTAAGATTCGATCAAGAACATGGTTGAAACACGAGGAGCCGAATTCCACAGAAAGGCAGAAGCCAAAAGGATGTTCATAAATCAGATCCTAGCGCCAGCCAGTCTGAAGCAAGCCTAACTAACCAACCCTTTCACAGAACAGCTTTCAATATTAAGACAAAAGAACACACTGATCATAACAACTCAGGAAGGAGATTGTCAATTTTGGGGCAAGTAAGCAAGATTAATGGTCAAAGAGATGCACAGCATGACCATCACATGTAAACCAGTGATAGTAATCACGATCACAAGCTCTTTGGATTGACTTCCCCCACCTAGAAGACTGAAATTCCTTATGAGAGACCTCTTAACCTCTGGTCTTCACAGAACATGTCCTTATGTTCAGAGAATGGTAAAGAAACCATCTTTTACAGATGTAGATGCACCAAAATGAACTCAAAAAAAGCTTATAAACTAATATCAGTCCATTGCTTAACTCCATATCATGTACGTAACCCACACATTCGACTATCATATTCTAATCACTTATTGTGTATGTCTTTTTAATAACTATTGAATAGCTTAAGGGTTCATAATCATGTTTAGTATGTGTGTGTTTGAATCTTCTTGCTTGAAACGTTTCTTCCAATCAATTCTTTGTCAAATGTATCATATTCTTGTTATAGAAATCCTGTCCAAAATTATACTCTGCAAGAGCGGAAAACTCGGACCATGTGACTGATGAGATGACATGTTGATTTATGTATTGGGAGGAGAAATATACGACACCCCGAGCAAAGACAATATCTAATTGGTCAAGGCACCATTTGGGATGTGTCCAAAAGTCCAGTTTAAATACTCAGGACACCATCAAATCATTGCTTTTAGCATCTAGCTTCTTAGCTTTAGCTTCTAGCCACTGCTTCAAGTCATCACTTTTAGCCATGCGGCTCTTTAGTCATAGCTTTGAGCTATGCTTTTTAGTCATCGCGCCTTTAGCTCTTTAGCTTTTTTTGGTCATGGCTTGTAGCCGTGCTTTTCAGTCATCGCTTTTTGCGCTCTTTGAGCGTGCTGTTGAGAGTTTCGTGTTCTGACTTAAGTTTTGCCGCAACTCCGTGTCTCCGAGTTCACCTCGAGTCTGTGACCGACCGCTTCAAAACTTCAACCAGCCCACAACTCCGCATCTTCAGCCAACGCCCAACCACTGGCTTCCCAAGACGTCACTTCTATGACTACTGAACTTCCATCCAATCAGTAACCTCGGGAAACCCCTTTCGGCAACCAGACAAGGAAGGGAACCCCTTACACAGGCAACGCAAGTACCTACAGATTCTAGCTGAACTGGTGCATTTAATATAATTTTAACCTCATTGAGGAACTCAATGCGAGGGTTAATTAAGTGATTGATGGTTGTTCATGTCTATGCAATTTCACATATTGCCATAAACTTGGGATCTCACATTTTCATTCTTTTAAACTCATTCTTTCCTTACTTTCTATCTTCCTGCAACTTGTGTGAATGTGTGCGTGCGTGTGTTTATGTGTTAGACTAGTTTATATGTCTTAGATTTATCCAATAGAGTCTTATTGATATTGAAAAGAGAAGTATCTTGTGTTTTGTGCTTACAAGTTAATGTCTTAAACTGCCGATCTTGTTACTGTGCTAATAAATAGTGTTTTCACTATATTTTGGATATTAATATCCATGCAGAATTTATGTTATACGGCTCGTTCAATGAATCGCTGGACGACTCATTGATCAGCCGTAAAACAGTGATTATGTCCAAATTCCCTATAAAATCTTAAATGATTCCCTTTGAGCTAAATTGACCTATTTCCCTTACATAATCGACCAGTATGGTCTTTCTGACCAAGCTGATAAAGTTAGTCAAGCAGCACCTCATTCAAAAAAACATGATTTTGACCAGCTATACTGTAAATTAAGTAAATGCAGAAGTTAAATACTTTCTTGTTGATTTTTGGGTTTACTTAATATTCTAAAGTATCTTGTTATGACAAATATATAGTCTTTTTTATACTACAATTTACAATTATCAGATGTTCTTTAATAGAATCATAAAGTATTAAATGCAATAAAATGTCAATGCATGACAATGGAAATGTCCATAATATTTTTATTTAGTTTTAATCTGACAGAAGTCCAGTATGTTTTTTTTCAGCATACAAACAGCTACAATGTCCATAATTGTGTGCATTCTTATTATCAAATGCATTTTAGATAGCTTGTGATACTTATTGCAGCATGTTGACGTAATTCAATACAACCTGCAATTAAATCCTCAGAACCTGCAATTAAATCCTGGCTTGCATTGCTGCACGTCTAGTTTTCCAAGTAGATTTAATTGTTATCTGCCATTGTTTTGACTCCATCCGCAATTATGAAAGATAAGAAAACTGAGCACAGCTACTTAATAACATCTCATTCGTTTATCAGTGTTGAAACGGTTCTGTAAAAGCCTTTTAGCAAGAAATAAGGTCTTGTGAGTAAACAAACTGAAGGGGAGTGCAATAAATATCAATAAAAATATTTCTTCAGTCACAGGAGCATTCTGTTAAATGTCTTAGGTGCTTAACTCTAATAAATAGAACAGAAGTGATTCAGGCTTTTGATTTGTGAAAGCCGGTTTATGTTTTATTTGCTTGGATGAGTCTTTATGAATGCTTCATGAATGTGAATGCAGGGATTTGCTTTTAGGCTCTATGAGAAGCTGTGTAAAGAGATGAACTGAAAAAATGAGATAATGGCAAAAATAAATAAACGTGACTGAAAATAAGACTAAGAGTGTAAGATTACATGTGGGTGAACCTCACAAAGCCTGTCAAAAACATGTCTAGGTTGTGTTTGACAACAAAATCAAAAGAAAAAAAAAAGAATTAGAAATGATATTTTGTATAATGTCTATTTTTATATAAAGCCAATTATATATATTGCCTATTTTTATAGGGGCTTCTTTTTGGTGTTGTGGCATTATTTATAGGACAAATCAGCACATCTCCACATCTAATTATTATTAGCGTGAATTTTTTTTTTTTTAAGTAAAAAAAATATTTATATTGTGTTTACACTTTTTTACACTGCCTGTAAATTATACTGATTATGATTTTCAAAATATGATATTTATATGTCACTGTAAATATCACAGTATTATATGTATGTGTGTGTTAATTTGATCATTTATATTCAATAAATTATTTAATAGTTTATTTTTTGTTACTATCTCCAGACAACATTAACAATTCAAGTATCAGACTTAATTTGCATTAAAATAAAGCCACATTGTCTAAAACTCTAAATGGTAGTAAAATAGATTTATTCTATGATTTTGAATATGATTCTGACTTTTTTTTAAAAATGAAATTCACCCATCTATGTGTGCTCACCCTACCTGGAAACTATACAGGACTGCGATGTTGATCTCCACCAGTGCCTGGTCCTTCCACAGGGATGAAGTCTTCCTCGTGTCCAGCCCCATCATTGTAGCTACTTCCTGAATTGAAGGGAATTAATCATACTGTACAGAGAGACTATTCATACTGTATTCTCTCTGGATCTGAACCAAGGTTAATAGAACTGCCACTTGTGATCTGCCTCTATAGAGATCTGGAACGACCGACAAGACTATCTAAAAATACACTTCTAGTCAAAAGTTTGGACACACCTGACATGAATATGTGTTTCTCATGATCTTAAAAACCTTTTGATCTGAAGGCTGATTCTTAAAAGTTTTTAAATTAGTTTTGCAGATATATAAAATCAGATGGGTTTCGAATAACATGAAGGTGGATGAATTATTTTATAGATGATTTTCTATATTTTATAGAAGATTAGGATATATTTCAGCATATATTTTACAAACCCGATTCCAAAAAAGTTGGGACACTGGACAAATTGTGAATAAAAACAGAATGCAATGATGTGGAAGTTTCAAATTTCAATATTTTATTCAGAATACAACATAGATGACATCAAATGTTTAAACTGAGAAAACATATCATTTTAAGGGAAAAATAAGTTGATTTTAAATTTCATGGCATCAACACATCTCAAAAAAGTTGGGACAAGGCCATGTTTACCACTGTGTGGCATCCCCTCTTCTTTTTATAACAGTCTGCAAACGTCTGGGGACTGAGGAGACAAGTTGCTCAAGTTTAGGAATAGGAATGTTGTCCCATTCTTGTCTAATACAGGCTTCTAGTTGCTCAACTGTCTTAGGTCTTCTTTGTCGCATCTTCCTCTTTATGATCCACCAAATGTTTTCTATGGGTGAAAGATCTGGACTGCAGGCTGGCCATTTCAGTACCCGGATCCTTCTACGCAGCCATGATGTTGTAATTGATGCAGTATGTGGTCTGGCATTGTCATGTTGGAAAATGCAAGGTCTTCCCTGAAAGAGACGACGTCTGGATGGGAGCATATGTTGTTCTAGAACTTGGATATACCTTTCAGCATTGATGGTGCCTGTCCAGATGTGTAAGCTGCCCATGCCACACGCACTCATGCAACCCCATACCATCAGAGACGCAGGCTTCTGAACTGAGCGCTGATAACAACTTGGGTTGTCCTTGTCCTCTTTAGTCCGGATGACATGGCGTCCCAGTTTTCCAAAAAGAACTTCAAATTTTGATTCGTCTGACCACAGAACAGTTTTCCACTTTGCCACAGTCCATTTTAAATGAGCCTTGGCCCAGAGAAAACACCTGCGCTTCTGGATCATGTTTAGATATGGCTTCTTTTTTGACCTATAGAGTTTTAGCCGGCAACGGCGAATGGCACGGTGGATTGTGTTCACCGACAATGTTTTCTGGAAGTATTCCTGAGCCCATGTTGTGATTTCCATTACAGTAGCATTCCTGTATGTGATGCAGTGCCGTCTAAGGGCCCGAAGATCACGGGCATCCAGTATGGTTTTCCGGCCTTGACCCTTACGCACAGAGATTGTTCCAGATTCTCTGAATCTTTGGATGATATTATGCACTGTAGATGATGATAACTTCAAACTCTTTGCAATTTTTCTCTGAGAAACTCCTTTCTGATATTGCTCCACTATTTTTCGCCGCAGCATTGGGGGAATTGGTGATCCTCTGCCCATCTTGACTTCTGAGAGACACTGCCACTCTGAGAGGCTCTTTTTATACCCAATCATGTTGCCAATTGACCTAATAAGTTGCAAATTGGTCCTCCAGCTGTTCCTTATATGTACATTTAACTTTTCCGGCCTCTTATTGCTACCTGTCCCAACTTTTTTGGAATGTGTAGCTCTCATGAAATCCAAAATGAGCCAATATTTGGCATGACATTTCAAAATGTCTCACTTTCAACATTTGATATGTTATCTACTGTATATTCTATTGTGAATAAAATATAAGTTTATGAGATTTGTAAATTATTCCATTCCTTTTTTACTCACAATTTGTACAGTGTCCCAACTTTTTTGGAATTGGGTTTGTAAATGTGGTAAAGCAAGCTGAGTGTATATATAGGCCAACTGGACTGTTAGTGGCTCAATGTCTTTTAACTTTTGAAAGTGAATTTACTTCAGAGTATAAAGGAAATGTGGAAGAGCAATTGTAATACTGAATGAGTATAAAACCATAATGATGATAAAAAACAGCATGTTTATGAATTAAAATCTGCATAAATTAAAGCGAGCAATTTAAAACAGGATAAACAATGCATAATATACCGTATAATCAACTTAATCCATTGCAATGGCTCATTAAACACAAACGTGTCATTACTAATTTCCTGTTGGGGTACAATGTCTAATGCATATGCATAACATTTATAATGATCAAATGTAATGCAGTCTGGTTTCAAACTGTGTAATGCAGTGTAAAAAGTAACATGAAATATTCTCAATGGTGCAGGGGTGATTTATGGCTGTCTGGTACAGTATGGTACCTCAAGTATGTTGTATCGAGAGCTATCGCAGAAGTCTCTGACACCGATCTCGGTCCCCATGTACCAGCCGCTAAAGGGGCAGGCGGTGAACTCCAGTCCCCCGATCTCTAACAGCATGTTAGACACGGCAGGAAGGCCGTACCACTTTAGATTCAGCTCCTTAAACCATTCGAACCTAGACAGACACAGACAGGAGGACGGTCAATATTGAACCCAGCTCAGCGAGAAAAGTTGCATGCATAAATGTTTTTCAGTGAAATGTTCTTGAGCTTATTTGCATAACATAATGTAGTCAGTAGAATATCTTGGCATATGCAGATGTACACCATTAAGCTTTTAGTGTATTCCGTTTACAGTTTCCATCATAATTTCTCTGTAAGTAAATGCGCACATATGCATCGCCAAAACTGTCATTATCTCTAAACCGGCACCTGCAGGTTTCTCAGGTGTTGCGCTAAGAGGCCAAATCCGCCTGTGTCTGTTATTAATGCTGAAAACACAAGTACTCTGGTGGAATGGCTGATCCATGCAGAAGTATATTCACACAATTATTACACTAAATATGGTGCCCATATTTGTCGCAGCATAAAATCAGCATTTTTCCCCAAAATAAATAATATGTAAATGCATCTCCTCTATTTACATATGTTTATTTGGCTAGTCATTTCTTTGAGCAGTTTGAGGAAAACTTTCAATAATGGGCATTATGTCAATTCAGGTAAAAGTTACATGCTAAAAATAGTTTTTTTGTTATGCTAAACATCTTATAATGGTAGTTTTTCTATTAGTGTTTCAAGGACAAGTGTTTCTGATCTCACGGGGAAACAACTATTTTATGATTTCATATGAATATGAATGAAACGAAAATTTAAGATTTTTAGAAAAATAGCCAGCATGAAGGTTCCTGCCTTCATTATTATCTATTATCTATTATCTAGCGGTCTAAACATAACCCTCACTGAGGCTTGAGCACAAAATGTGCTAATGAGATCATACAAATTCACACAAATTAGCAACCATAGGCCAAAATGTATTATAGTTATGAATTGCCATGAGATGCCATTTGCTCAGAATGTTTGACTTGTGCAATTTGACTTAATAATTTCAAAATTGCTCATATTTACAGAGTGTATATATATATATATATATATATATAACAGCCACACATTTTAAAACAGGAACAATGAGTGTATAAAACAATGTTTTAGCTAGCCTTCAACACTGAATTCAAGGTTTACTCTAAAATCCTCAAGAACGCCCTAATCTGATTTCTTGAATAAGAATAGCACCACAGTCACTTTCATTTACGCTTAAACAATTGTTTATTTTTGCACATGGGAGGTGTATGAGCAAAATGTTCTGTTTTACTTTATCCAATTGCAAGAACATAGAGCTGCAAATTATTTTTTTTATATAATTTATTAATTTCATTCAATTTAATTGCATTTGTCCACTTTTAATCTTTGATGAGAAGTTTAACTTTATCTGCATGACATTTTAGTTCTGAAACAGGAAGTTAGTAGCCATCAATGCTTAATTTAATGGTAACTCAGGCTAAATTCTTTTTTAAACACTAATTAATAAAAAAATATATATATAAATGCATGACTGAGGGGGACAATTCAGTCTTATCTAGATCTCAGGACCCAAGTAACTGATCATCTGAGACACATCGGTGTCAAACAGACAGAATTAAACAAGCAAACTGAGGCAGGATCTGGAAAAAGGACAAGTTTTATGCCAAATTAGCCCACGTTCCTGAATGTACGTGCATAAGAGGCAAGCTCTCAGCTTGAGTTCTCTGTTGCTATGCATCCTGAAGCTCTGCACATTACAGCCTCTCTGATACGAGATTTCCCTTCGGTATGTACTGTATGACGCAGACTATTATCAGATTCTGGGTGGATGAACATTTGAGGTGTAAAATGTTTTAAGCACTGATGTGATTCTGTGTTGTTTCTACACAAGTTTGACGAGCATCAAACCGTCTGAACCCCAATAAAACTCTACAATATGCTTGGTTCTTCTTACTTTGGATGTATAATGGGAACCTCGAGTACAAGATCATCAGGAATCTCAAAAAGCTCTGGATCGTTCCCATTGGCTTGGAGAAGAAGGGGCAAAACGTCAAAACGGCTTTTTGGAGCTTTCCATCCTTGCTGTATACAGATCTACAAGTCAAAAACAAACATTACAGATGTTTTTTTGGAATATGTTGGTTGGTCACAAAGCTAATGGCCATCATGGACCTGCTGACAACTTCTTTAGCTCAGCTAGAAACCAGCTACCATGTTCCAAAACACAGACACCAGCTTAAACTGGATTTTGCATTGCATTGCACAACTCGAACACAATTAACAATGTTAAATTAAACAAACATCAACCCAGCGATAACAAGAAATGCCCATGTCACAAAAGGTTTATTCTTGTGTGTACTGGTAACATGCTTCATTCAATATGTCAGTAGGAGCCTTTTATGATGTCTGTGGCTCTTGCAATATAGCTTCCCACCTCACCTCTGTAAGCTCCACCGAAGCCGGATCTCCGAGAATTGATCCATCAGGCTGCTTGTAGCCTGCGTACCGGATCAACTGGCTGTTCCACACCCGGAAGTCATGCTTCCCGTCTGTCCTCTGGGGGAAGATGGTAATAGCCGATCTGCACATCAGAGACAAGAGGTAATGCTGAGATCCCTCTGGTGGATTTATACTTCAAATCATCCAATACAGTACGTATTACAGACTCCATGAAATCAAAATTGTGTGACTTAATCCCATAGCCAAGATTTGCTGAATTTACTGTAAGTGCATGCACTGTTTTATGCGAATAAAGTTGGATTTACTTATATATCCAACTCAACATATAGACACATGTAATTATATAGCTTATATTTTGCAAAGATATAAAAACAATTATGCATTTACAGTAAGTGGGTGTAAACTTGGATGTACTATATATCATCTATATAGCGCTGTTATTTTCGAGGCCATGCGAATGCACTTCACAATAAACTTTTAAAAGATATATACATTTAAAATGTACAATAATTCACTTCTGGAAAATATATATTGATAATTAAGTTTGTTGGTTGGTCAAAATTGTTTGTGTTCAGTGCAATACAGATATTAAAGAACTGGTTTAACCAGTGTTTTTTTTTTTTTAAGCAGAGTAATGCTAATTATATAGCATTACAATCATAATATTGGTAATTATATAGTACAGTTTTTGTCATTTATTGTGCTTTTGAAATAAAACATCCCCATCTGTTATTGTTATAAGCAAACATAATCATGCTTCATTGCTGAAAATACATCACATTGACGTTCAACAGCTAAGAGCACAAAGTGTCAGTCCAACTAATCTAAATAACAAGTCCCGTCACTCTCGAAATACAACTCTGGATGAAATTTGGGTCACCAGCCTGTTTGAAAAAGCGCTGAGGAGCTTTTCTTGTTGCCTTGATTTGTTTATGTGCGGAAAAAGAGTGTAGGAGACCTCTGACGTTTATTCTGGCAGGTCCTGATGATGTAAGAAGCAAGCGCGGGGGCTTTTGACTATATAAAAGCGTTTCCTCTCTTCTTGTTTTAATTTTCCCTTTCCTCACCCCTCTCTTACTCTCTCAGGCTCTAATCATTCTGTTAGACTGATGCTAATTAAACAGAACAGAGAGTAAGTGTCGTGTATGATTAGCTTCGTAACGTGGCAGTGGTGCCAGTGCTCGGCAATGCTGTGGCAGGTGCTGTACTGTGGGCTGTGGAACAAGGTGACAGAGAGAATGGGAACACTCGCTTTGACAGGGAAGAAGGCAAGTCGCAAGGAAAAGGAGATGCATAAAAAGACAGGAAAAGAAAGGAGTTAGTGAAAAATGGCCTCACTAACCTGAGGTTTCCTTTGTTGGTGGCATATTTGATGTGGTTACAGATGTAATTAAACATTCCATGAGCGGTTGTGCAGTCTCGAGCATCGAACACCTCAAAGGAGAGAAATTCACTTTTTAGGACACATTCTTTTTTTCTTTCTCGCTGCATTTCAATATGCACCAAATTGTTGTACCCTTGAAAAGATTAAGGGAATGGTTTGATGAAGGAATGCTTTTTGGAAGAACAATCCTGTATGACAAAAAAAACTAAACAAAGCAAAACAATACCTGTAGTTTGGACCACTGAATCCGTCCAACACAGCGAGCTGCATTTCTCCATGCATGTTTGGCCCCGTAAATCAGCTCTGTGTCCTTCAGTTGATATGTTCCAGAAGTTTCTATTTCTTTTTTAACCTCTTCTAGCCGGTCAACATGGGCCTTTGAGCCGCATCTGTTCAGACAGAAGCCAAACATATAAAAGGCACATTTAGAAAAAAATGACTACAATTAGAAGGGTAAGTTATGTACTGCAACATACATATACAGGTGCATCTCAATAAATTAGAATGTTGTGGAAAAGTTAATTTATTTCAGTAATTCAACTCAAATTGTGAAACTCGTGTATTAAATAAATTCAATGCATACAGACCATAGATAAATAGATAAATAAATCTTTCTTTTTTTGTCTTGAAAAAATAAATGCATAAATTAATTTGAGATATTAGTTTTTTGGAGAATATATAATGCATATTAAATTATGTGTACTTCCTTTACTCGAATGGCTAGTTTTAAAGTCAAAATCGAGGTTTAAGAAAAAATGGCAATGGTGTAAGAACGATAAACTTAACTCAAAATATATTCTTTGGAAAAAAAAAATCTTATTAAAAAATGTGTGAAAAGTCATTTTGAATCTAAAAAGTCATCTTTGTGACAGTTTTGCTTCTAAAATAAATTATGTATTATTGTTTTTAAATATAAAATCTAAATATATATCCATCTTTCTGTAGTTCAAAAAATACAACTATATAAAATATAGTTTTATTCTGATCTATTATACTGTATATATATATTTTTTGCAGTGATGAAAGATGTTTAATATGGTACAGTGTGCATTAGATTTAAGTTGTTCTCCTGCCTTTTGATTGATGTGTAGTACTGGTCGATAAAATCTGTTGCAAGCGGTAGCAGTTCCTCTTTTCTTCGGACTTCATCTGGTTTGTGACTGTGCTGGTTTGGCACCATAACAGAGCCTATACAAACACTCTCAGTGCAGATCGGCACCTGCAAACAAAAAGCAACTAGCACAATAAGAAGACTGAGTGTGCAAATCCAAACATGCTACATCACTCACGGAAATGTGCTACAGAAAGCATTGTGCCCGTCTCACACATATTGTGTCCGTAGGAGTGTAACTGCAACAGCAGGCACAAGTTGTGACAGCATTTCTGCTGTGTAACAGAACTGGAGGTCTATACAGAAAATAAAGTGATGTCTGGGTGAGCACACTGAGTACTTCCTTTAATTACCGCCATAATTATAAAATGTCATGAAATTTCAGGGGCAGCAAATTTACATCCAAATAGTCTTTTTAGTGCTTTTTTCTAACAATTTTAGCTTACTTGTATAAAAGCCTATATACAAAAGTAAAAGAAAAAAAATTATGGCATTTTCTAAGTTCCTCCAGACATAGTAAGAAGCAATAAACAGACCAGGCATTTTAGTGGGATTTTAGCAAAGACACAATATTTATGAAAGATTTTTATTGTTCCCCATTCAAATAGAGATGCATTCTGTGCATTACGTACCTAAAAACATAAGTTACCAAGATGGATGTCAGGTGGGTGAACAGACTTGAGGTAAAAGGACTTTGGTTCAGTGTGCAACTCCAGCTCTACTTGCAACGCTGCTACTTCTACTGCACAATGATTCTTACCAACCCAGGCTCACCAGAAAAAAAACGTGCCAGTGGTGGCATTTTTGCAAAATAATACTATCGTGATTCTAGTACATTTCTAACCACTTTCAAAGTGAAATGTCCAATGTGTGGCGATCAAAGCGTGCTTATTTTTAACCAAAATAGATCAAAATTTTCTCACGTCGCTTATTTTACGTAGCGCAGCAGTTTGGAACTGAAATGTTTGGTGAGCAGCGCAAAAAGATGAATGCTCTGTCACTTTTGAAAATAACATAGCACCTACACTAAACCAACCCAATAGTGTTAACAGAAGCGAACGTGAGATAAAAACACTTTTGCTGAAGCAACCATGCCATTTTAGCTTGCTTTTACAAATCTTTGAGCTCTTTTATTGTGACTCATCTGGAGTTGGTATGTGATGAAAACGTATTAGTTTACAAATCACTTTGGCAAATGTGCATTGATGTCACAACATAACGTGTGAAAATAATTCTTTATTAATCGATATTGTAACATCACAACCTGTTAAAATGGTTACACAATTTAAAAATGCAAATGTGTCGCTCACATGCTGCAAAACTTAACTGTCATGCAATAAGACACTTTTAAGTTGGGAATGCTGTTTATTATATTCTAATCTTATTGCAGGCCTGTGAAACCAACACACAGAGCCTCAGAAAAATTTTTGTATATGCATTTCATGATCATATTCCTCGAAAACTAATTGCTGTTGAAAACATCCAATGGCTGGATAAATGGCAGGCTTCATCAGAGCCTGATAAGAATAAGCAAAGAGACAAACGGAAGTCGCTCATCGCCTTGAGGAAAATACTCATATGGCCACTATAATAAGATTAGATTTGAAGTGCACTGTCACTTTCTGTAGCTGCTAATATGTTCACTGGATTAGGGGTGGAATGGCAAAGACAGAACAAAAAAATAACAACAATGCTGTTTAATTAAGGACTGGCTTGTTTTAATATCCCAAATTGCCCTTTCAGTCTGGTGAAGCATTTAAACCATGACTGACCCATAACCTTCAACAGTTTCAGAGTAGCCTATAGCCAAAAATAACAAAAGTCCCTTCAAGGAAAGGGTTCATTAATTGGCCATCTTTGTAACACCCTCATACTTTTACTTACAAGTTCATGTCACATACAAAATAAAGAAGTAGCTAAACCAAAACATACATCAAAATATATGGTATAGTATCTAACAAAAAATGAATTGCATAAAGCAAAACACAAAAGGTGAGTTATGACACTGAAAAAACTACAGAAACAGTTTATACAAGGCCTGGGCATTAAAACGGTATCGATATTTATCAATGGTACACCTTCTTCGATATCGATAGAAAAAATGTTCGATATAGTGCACGATATAGGCACGTGCTATGAGTGACGCAGACAGCACACTCAAACACGAACACATGCTGAAATGACTGCTGTGCCTGCCTGTGATGAGGAGATTGTGACAAAAAAAATGAATATTATTCGAATTTAAAATAAACATTTGCATTTGAATGTTAGGTGTGCATCAGGGAGCGTCATCAGTGGCGCGCGAGATGCGGTGATGATGTAAGTGACGTTGTTGCATTTTAATGTTTTGTTAGTCTAGCCCACGAGACGCGCCGCTGCTGCATTATTCATTCAAAATATTAGAGAAATATAGAAGCTCAATGCGGAGAAGATCTTGAATGGGTTAAAACCGAAACCAAGCCATTCACACAGAATGCATATTCAGCGCATTTTTTTAGACGGACAAATATGACTGCTGCACTCACGTCTCACAGAAGAGATGCAGCCATGCAAAGTTAAAACAGTTGAAACTTTTAGAAAACACGTCACGAATTTGTGGAGGTTTATTCCTTTTCACTGCGTCTCTTTTGTTTTTAAATGCAGTCTGTGTGAATGGCGCTTCGGCTTTTTGGATTAAACAATGCATAAATACATGATGCTGTTTTGTTCATAATTGTTTATGCAATTTTCGAAATTATATTAGATTTTTATGAGTTAATTTAGACGTAATGCACGTTTTTATAGAGTTACTTGCTAAATGCACTGCCTTATTTTGCTCATTGCGCCCTCCTGTGGCCTCGGGAGACACAATATTGTATTATACCTATACAATAAAGACCTATTTAATCTGCATATAAAACATTAGAAATTAGATATTTGTTTAATTTTTATTGTGTTTGATTGTTAAAATAAAAAATATTTATTGTTTGTCTCAATAAATTGTGTTAATTATAAATACAGTGGTTAAATAAAAATAAAAAATTATATTGCTTTTTGTTTTAAAAAAGGTTATAAAAAATGTCAATAATTATCGATACCGAACGATATGAAACATTATATCGTTGATAAATTTTTTAGCTATATTGCCCAGCCCTAGTTTATACTCAGAAATTTCACAATTAATTATAATAATAAAACTTATAGAAAAATATATATAAAAAAAAAAAATCTGAATTCCGATATGTAAACTAAGAATTGTGAAATATAAAATCAAAAAAAGTATTTTCACAATAACTTTCTCAGAATTTGATTTTATATTTTGCAATTCAGTTTTTTTCTGCCACAGAAAAATAAATAAATAAGGTAATTGTGACTTTTTATCTCAGAATTCTGACTTTTTTCTCACAATTGCAAGTTTATATCTCACAACTTCTCTTGTGTCATCTTGAATTAATTTATTTTATTTAGATACAAACTCATAATTGGAAAAAATCTGAATATACTGTGAGATAAAAAGTCACAATTACCTTTTTAATTTTTTTTATCCCATTTTAAAGTAGAAAAATGTATACGCCACACTTTTTTACAGTGTAGATTTACATTTATACACTATAAGATCTATTCTTAATATTACTAAATACAGAACCAAAATTTAAAAAAATAACACCATTATTTCTATTCTTCTATTATAAGTATTTCTGAATCTTCTATTATGAATAGTAACACCGTTCACTACTCATAATAGAAGATTTGACCACCTTCAAACCGGATTAATTTTTATAAAAGTGATCTGTTTCCACATCATTACTTGCTGCAGCGCAGTATAACTTACCCATGCATCCCATCTGTAGCATGTACAGGGACACCTGTGTGACTTTAGCTACCCAAACGAGCATTTATACTAATGGTGCTCAGCACAAGAATCATGTTAAAAATAAAATAAAGACGTTCATTAGATTCTTCACATTCACCCACCATTAGGGACTTTGAATGCAATCTTGCAGCTGTCACATTCTGTAGAGTTGGAGATGCAACCCAAAAATCCTTCAGAATGTGATATATTATAAATCATACCATCTGTAATTAGCATCAATTAGCATGCAAAGCCAGCCTCTCATGAAAGTGCACAGAACTTCATAACCCCCTCTTGGAAGGATGATTCAGATTTAGAGAGATCTTGAGAGTTGTCATACAGACTTGTGTCCAGGGCCGCATTAAGACTGCACTGGGCCCCGGGGCTATGACTTACTGGAGGGCCCCCATCACAATAATTCCTGCGTAATTCATATTACGTATATATTTTTTCTACAATTTATACATTTTAGGCTCAGTGAATGGCACATTTTTTCTTAAGGTGGGCCTTTAGCCCCGTTG